ATGACTAAATGGCTAAGCGCCATAGTTATAATGGTTTTCGAAGGAAAAACGCTTTATATTCTGGGTTCCTCTGCTTGCCTGAACATAGTATGCATCATCAATATGATGTATACTGAATTTGGTCTTTTAATATGACTGCCTTACCTCATTAGTAAAAAAACAAAAAAACAACTGGCATTCAATCAGGTGGGCAAATCGCAGAGCACTGGTAAATGTGACTGTGTGGTATGAAGGTGTGGTCTATGCAGACACGAGTGAGTTGTGTGTAAACAGTAGCCATATACGCTTAAATGCAAAAACTGTGCACGTCCTCCTGAGTCTGCCAATACAGCAGCACGGCCAAAGAAACTCAGCCACAGGATATCTGGGATCAGGGCCAAGCAGTGGCTAAACATTGGCAAATGTCCACTGAACAGCCCATTACAGAAATTTATACTCGCAAACAATCCACAGGGAGTTCTAAAAATCAAGTCCACAACCAAAAACGTCGAACTGAAGATAATAGACATTGCCATAAAATGGCTGACAACACAATTAAGAATATTCCTCACAAGGAGAGATTTTTTAAAAATGTTACAGTCCATGGATGGATTCTTCTCCCTGAATATTGCACCAATAGCACCATTTTTTTTTTTTACTGTATTACAATCTGTCAGTGCAATAAAACAATAGTTATGTGGAAGATTCATTCTCTGTGGAAGTTCCTTAGATGCTTGTGTTTCATTAGAAAGAATGAGATGGAGGAGAGCAGAGGTTAGTCATAAATCAAGACAGGACACAAAATATTACGGTAAAAAACTCATTCATAGAGCTCTGGCTATCCAGCTAAATGATTAATAGCCTGTTAGCTAAAGACTGCATTCTCTTTCACACATAAACATTAGATAATATGATTTTTGATGTACATCTATCTATCTATCTATCTATCTATCTATCTATCTATCTATCTATCTATCTATCTATCTATCTATCTATCTATCTATCTATCTATCTATCTATTTTAAATTAAACATAATTTGTTTTGTACCCATTGTTCCCCAAGTCAAATTGAATGTGAAACATGATTTTTATAAAACACAATATGCTTAAAAACTTGTTGCTAATGTGCTAATAATAATATACTTAATTCAAGGTACATTCTCTGAAATAATTACTATTTGTATTGGGAAAAATGTTTTGGAGTGTAGCTTTATATAAAAAGAACAGAAGTCTATGGTATGTCCTAATTTAAACAGCTAAACGTGTGTGTGTGTGTGTCCAGAGTTCCCTCAGGTGTTCTTGGCCCGTCATTGGCTGTCTGTTGAGTTTAGTGTATGCACACAGGTGATGTCAGTATGTCACAAAAAGTGTCCTCAATCCTGTCTCCCAGAATGCCACACTAACAGACACACACACACACACACACAACACATGAAAATGTCAGTTCTGAAAAATCTTCTCACGGCCTATTGTTCTCTGTTTCAAAATGCCAGCTAAAACCTGCAGTGTGTTCTGAGAGCATGTCTATGTTTTTCGGTCAGCTAGCGCTGAGGAACAGCCATTAAAGTATTTCTGTAGTATTGGTGTGAAAAGGTAGAAACAAAATACCACAATCCATTCATTCTCTGATGGAAGAAGATGGTCTGTCAGTCAGTATATTATGGATCTGTGTGTGAGTTTCAGTAACCTATTAGAGCACTCTGACCTGAAATCACCAAGGCGCAGGGAGTGTTTGCTGTACCCGAGAGCACTTTGATAAAATCACATGTAATTATGTTTCCCAGAGATGGCACACAAGCTAGCTAATGCTGTCGGACCACGCTAAAATGATCTGCCTACCATCTCTCTCTAGTCGTTTTGTCCAATTTTATGGGGAACATATACTGTAACCCTTGTATCTGAGGTCATATCAAAAATAAAAATGTTCCTAAATTGTATTGTAGCAAAAATAAAGCTATGAAATGTTTATTTTTTCCCCAAAGTATTTGTGGCACTGCAAAACATAGAAAAGTATTTTTCACATAAGTCTTAAAAGTATCACAGCAATATATATATATATATGTGTGTGTGTGTGTGTGTGTGTGTGTGTGTATTTAAATACAAAATAATGTTTTAAAAATCAAACATATTTAATCATGACCCCTGACCATACATAGTTTTCCAAATAAGTGATTTTCCTCCATTAAGAGCAGTGTTGGGAGTAACGCATTACAAAAGTAATACATTACAGTAACATATTACTTTTTACTGTAACGCAGTAGTGTAAGGCATTACTAATCAATTTTCAGTAATATTTTACTCGTTACATGTTCAGTGAGGCTTGTATTACAGTTGTATTACAGTGTATTGTCTGCTTTCACTTCTTAAAGGCAACAGACTATGTGAAAGTTTTAAAGCAGTCTTTTAGTGCCAGTTCAGAGCGGTCGGGTCTGTAACATTGTTTTTTCCTCATAAATGCGAACACGAAAACTAAAATAAAATGAATATTTTAAGTTCTATGGAGACTGGAGAGCCAACCCTTCCTCATCCGATTTGCGCAGTGTAATTAACAGAATTACAAAAAATATATTTTGCCTCCTATTTTTTTGTCACGCATGAATGTGTGTCTTTTCCCTAATATTAAAAATAAAACATAGACTGATATTTGTCTAATGTCTGGAGTCCTTTAAGGAAGTAGCCTATATACGTTTCAATAGATGAATTTTCTGAGAATTTTTATTTCAAGTTTTGACATCAAATGTCATGTCCATAATGCTGGACTTCCCCAATTTTAAATAATTTATCCTCAACTAGTTTTGTGGTGTAGGTCTACGTATTTTATAATGTTAACTTCAAATAATACTAATAGCCTAATTTAAAGATAAGGCAGCATTGGATCTCTGGACGGTAAGGAGAATAACGCTGAAGTTGGAAGAGGTGTGTCACGATTCTATAGGTTTGTGGATCTGAGTCGTGTGGCGAATCGCGATTTCGGTTTCATATTGCATATCGTTACAGCCCAAAAGTTAAGTTCTACTTAGTTATTTTGGTGAAAGTAACTCAAAAGTAATACATGAGTAATGTAACGCATTTCAATTCTGAGACAGTAATATTGTTAGGTAATGAATTACTTTTAAATAACAGTAACAAGTAATACCTAATGTATTACAGTTTCGAAGTAACTTGCACAACACTGGTGAGGAAGTCGTATTGCAATGGCTCGGGGAGTTGTTAATGAAAAGGACCCTTGGAAAGCCCATCTAGGCAGTCCCACAACACCCCTGCAGAAAGTGCAAGCTTGCATTTACCACTGCACCTTAATGAGCTCTACCTCCCCAGAATTGATCCCAATGGCATCAAGGGAATTAGATTGAGCTACGGAGAAAAGATCAGTCTAGTAGGAACCACGGCTCTATGACTAAATAATCATAATGCTGACTATCTAGAACTTGTGAAAGCACCCCCGAAACTTATTGTGAAAGCCCACAAAACGTCTATACTAAACACTTTTGCTTAGTGCATGGGTATATTGCAAACGGGGGAAATTGCCATTAGAGTAAAATATTAATGGCTAGAGAATCAATTCTTGCTGATTCACAATGGCTTGGTCGGCAAAAGATCAACATTATCCCACTCAGCCAAAATACAAGAAATAATGCAAGGGGGAGTTCAGGAATGAAAATGTCAATAGTCGCTGTGACTAGTACGCTGCTCTAGAAACCTCTGATGACTCTGTCTCTTGCAGCCATTTGAATAAAAAAAGCATCCTCACCTCCTCCATCTGCTAAAGTTGTCCTCAAGTCCTAATTTATGAGCTACAGCAAGCATATAGCATTGAACTTTTAACCACAAATGATGTATCATCAGTATCTTCAGTATGATTATAGTTGGAAACATGTTTGTGTGTTTATTTTTTGCACTCAATCATGTGTAGCAATCATTACGTCTCATTTAATAATACATGCATTAAGACCTTGGCCCCAAAAAGTATCTAGACAATTAAGTCACACTTAAAAATTAATGTTGTTGCATTACTTAATTTTGTATAGATTATTTAAGTGTGGCGTCAGTGTCCAAATAATTGTAGTGCCACATTTATGTGTGAAAATTGATAGAATGTCTACAGTCTGACTAAGATGCTGAAACATATTAGCGTAACATGTACAACAGGTAGTTTGGGAGAGGAGAAGGTCAAAGGAGTAAAGAGCAGGGGAGGAGTGGAAACAGTGAGCAGAGCAGTAAACAAGCATGGTTGCTGACCCGAACCCGAACCCTGACCCTGAGCTGTTCATTTAGCTTCTGGTAAAACCCATATAACTTCCTGTTTTGCGGCTTTAAGTGTCATGTGTGTCTATGTGATTTGCATAAATATATGATATGTCAACAATATGAAATAATAATGCTTCTAGTAACTTTGTAAAATGATAATACTCAGTGTTTCATATTGAATCATGTAATTCATATGAATCAGCCCCTGCTTTGCTTGGTTATAATCACTAAACAACCGTCCAAGAAATTTGACTATTTTTTTTACTATCAAAAGTGACAAATCCATCATGGTTTCCACGATATTATTAGAATGTAAAATATCTAAAATGTCTTGATCTCAGATGTATATGTACTGTATAGCAGCCGTCTGTGTTGGACGGGTGGGTTAGAGCCAAGAACAAACACAACAGGAGCCGAGGAGTTTATCAAGTGAGGCAGCAGGCAGGGGTAACACAGGATGCACACAGGATTATCAGGAGAGCAAGGTCTCTCTCTGTCCCTTCCCCTGAATGAGAGGCCCATGGTCAGAGCCGCCACTGGGGCAAGAATGAGACCACGTTCTTCAGCTAGACTGCAGAGAGTTAGACAGAACCCGAGATCTGAACCCAGACCATCAGATCCGAGCGCTCACACCATCCTGGAGTTCCCGAAGCCTCGTGGGAAGGCACAACAAAAGGAACCGTACAATCTGCATTTTCGTTTGTGGTCTAGCTCTGTGCAGTCTGTCTGTGTGGTACTGCTTTTGACCCAGGTGCTGATCACATGGCACAAACCTGCAGTTGGAGGCGGGGCCTGGCGTGGGGAGCACAGGGCAAGTTCTGACGGGTGAGAAAAGAGAGGACATATCAGTACACACCTGACCACACTGCCAACATCTGTCTCTCTCACCTTATCACAGACTGTACGAGCACACACCTGTAGCTCATGCTATGCACACCTCATATACCGATTCCTATATCATGGAGAATATGATAAGTAACTTGTATTTTTGTATAGCCACAATTTAAAGATGAAATGTGTCATTTCTTGTGCCCCTAGTGGCAACAATTGGAATTGTGCTGAAGGAACAGGTCACTTTTGCACTCAAGTCAATGGGATGACTGACATAAGGTCTGTGGTTAACAAAGATCAAAATATTTTCACATTTATGCGAGTGAAGACAAAGTTTCTCTGAGGAACGCAAAAGCATTGAATTATAATTTTCCTCCCATCTCGTATTTTTGTCCCTTTAGGGGCTCCGTATGTTTCAGTTGGCCTCTGCCGGTTGATGACACAATTACAGTACACCATCTGCTTCTAAAGCCTTTTTCTCTATTAATATATACATATTTTTAAATTATCATATTTAAAAAAATATATATAAAATACAATTATTTGTAAGTAACATACATAACATTAATATTGAATCTTTTATAATAGTTAGAGTCTTTTTTTGAAGAGAGAAAAAGACTTTACTGTTCAAAAGTTTGGGTTGGAAAGATTTTTTAAATGCTCACCAATGCATTTCTTTGATTAAAATGACATAAAAACAGTATTATTGTGATATTTTATTACAATTTCATAACTGTAATTTAACTTAATTTAAATTTCAGTGTTACATGGTCCTCCATAAATAAGTATTTTAATATGCTGATTTGCTGCTCAAAAAAACCTTTCGTATTATCACAATGAAATCTGTTGTGTTGTATTATATTTTTGTGGAAACCGTGAAATTGTTTTAGTGGAATTTGTGAACCACACAAAGGTTTTAGTTTCGTAGTTGTCTAAGCACATTAAATTAGCATTAAAGGAGGCATTGTCACATCGGGGGGAAAAAAACACACACACACTTCACCTTTAAGTAAGACAAAGCAGTGAAAACATTCTCAGATCCGACACTATGGTGATGCATCCAACCCCATCTGAATGGGTCGCTGGAGTCCAGAGCGGCCAAACCTCCTAATTGACACTTATCAAACATGGCACCTCAACACACCGAGGGCACATGCGCTATTCTGTAACAGTCAGGAGGAATAATGTGCGCACCGGGTTGGGCTTGGCCCAAAAACGTCTGGGTGAGTTGTGTTTCTGTCCTGCCTGCAGCTAAAGGTGACCTCTGCACCCTGATTGGCTCCATGAGAAAGAATCATGTGACCTTCATCGACAGTGTTTGGTCAGGAGAAGCTGACGGACACTTACCCTCGGGCCGGTATTGGGCGATGATGGTTACCGTCTGCCCCGCTCCTTTCAGTGCAGCTGCGGCTTGTTCATGAGTGGCACCTCGAAGATCGATTCCATTAACCTGGAATCAATCACAACAAAGGTCGTTACATCATTAGCATCTAACTGTCTAACAGTCACCTGATCAACAATACTAGAATGACTTTTTGACAATTTATTATCCGTAACAATTAGTGTTGTCAAACGATTAAAATATTTAATCGAGATTAATCGCATTAATGTCATAGTTAACTCGTGATTAAACACACATTTTTATCTATTCTAAATGTTGATTTCTTTTTGTGTGAAAAATTAATGGGTTTCATACATAGACCATGAAAAAATTATGGGTGGGGTTAGGGATCAGGGGGTGGAGATGGGTAGGAATAAGGGTGGAGTTAGGGATCAGGGGTGGAGATGGGTAGGATAAGGGGTGGGGTTAGGGATCAGGGGGTGGAGATGGGTAGGAATAAGGGTGGAGTTAGGGATCAGGGGTGGAGATGGGTAGGATAAGGGGTGGGGTTAGGGATCAGGGGGTGGAGATGGGTAGGATTAGGGGTGGGGTTAGGGATCAGGGGGTGGAGATGGGTAGGATAAGGGGTGGGGTTAGGGATCAGGGGGCGGAGATAGGAAGGATTAGGTATATGAAAGGTGGGAGGAGTTGGATCTGGATCCAACTCCTCCCCCTGGATTTCATGTTCTGCAGTGAGGACCATCTCCATCTAGTGGCTATTGATATTTTTTTTTTTCTTAATTTAATACCAACATAGGACACCAGATGCCACACTTCATCTTTAGCTTTTAACTCTCGGAATTTGTGGAATGGTATTTTTAATGAGGTTAAAGAAATATTAAATATAACATAAAAAATTAGTAAAAAATTTTACATAGAAAATGTGGTACTTTTAGAGGTAAATAAATTCAAAAAATAACCCCAAAATAAACAAAAAATGGATAGTTTAAATTTTATCGAAGACAGTGACATAACATTTGTAATAAATAAAAAAATGGGACCACACCTGAGACCTCTATGCCCACATTTGTCCACGAACGAAAAATTAAGGGCTGTTAAGTGAATAGGGCATGAGGGCTAGTAACAATACAATATAAGTGTACATAAAGCATTAAATAAATGTCTCAAAATGTAAATGGGCAGCAATACTGTCACAAGCTATCTGGCGAATTTATATTCAAGTTGCCTGACTTTCAGAAAATGTGGTACGTTGCTGCAGAGCAGCCTGGAGAGATCTGGGACTAGAAACGCCTGCTGTGATCCAGATGCACGGTTCTCCGATTCAGGAAAAGCCTACAGTAGCAGATCAGTGGGTGGTAGGACCCTGTAAGCCAGAGTCTGCAACAACTGGACCACTAAGTAATCAATGTTCCTCCAAAATATGAGTTCTGCATCATCAGCTCTGCTTATGAGCCAAATTGAGTCATTGAAAGTCCAAGTTCAAGCAAGTTGGGATCGGCTAACTATGCACACAAACCTAGAGCAGGTGTTGTAAGCAAACTGCTATTACAGGTGCACTCATTTTTCCTCATTAAAAAAGTGTTCAATAGTAATTATGAAAAATATGTATTAAATTATGTTCACTCCCATGAAGCCTCCCTGTCAAATCAGTAGCCTAATAAAAGCTGTTTTAAGGGGGTTGACATGTCGAGATCACATTACCAGGCAAATGCTATTTGTTTCATCCCAGTTTCCCCCATTACCGACACTTTCAGTTGTGGAATAAATTAACCATAGCTGACGAGTGTTGTGGTCCTTATGTAGTAACTTGCATTTTTAATGAGTTTCAGAGTTTCTAAGTTCAAGTTTGAGGCACACTACAATTCAAAGGTTTGGGGTGGGCAAGCTTTTTAAATGTTTTTGAAAGAAGTCACTGAAATAAATGCTCAACAAGGCTGCATTTATTTGATCAAAAATAAAGTAAAAAAACAAAACAAAAAAACAACAACCTAATATTATGACATATTACAATTTAAAATAACTGTTTTCTATTTTAATATATTTTAAAATGTAATTTATTACTGTGATGGCAAAGTCAAATTTTCAACATTATTACTCCAGTCTTCAGTGTGACATGATCAGAAATCATTTTAATATGCTGGTTTGGTGCTAAATATCTTCTTAAAGGGATACTCCACTTTTTTTTGGAAATAGGCTCATTTTACCACTCCCCCAGAGTTAAACAGTTGAGTTTTACCATTTTCAAATCCATTCTGCCGATTTTCTGATATTTAGAAGAATATCAGTAACCAGACAGTTTCATGTCTCATTGACTTCCATAGTAGGAAAAAAATATAATATGGAAGTCAATGAGAAATATCAAAATATCAAAAAATCGGCTGAATACATTCGAAAACGGTAAACCCCAACTGTTTAACTCTGGGGGAGTGGTAAAATGAGCCTATTTCCAAAAAGAGTGGAGTATAACAATAGCAAACAGTTGTGGGGCTTAATATTTTTGTGAAAACCATTATATATATTTTTGATTAATAGAAAGAATAGGCAGAACAAAAAATGTGAATAAAAAGAATTTTTTTTTAAAATGCTAGAGTATTACTGTGTGTAATAAACAAATTGTGAAAGTATCTTCATGCAATGTTCAGAAGCACAGAACTTATCTCTATTCTGAAATTGTGATTTCTTGTTTAATCTAATCAAAAGCGCTTTTATTTTTTAATCAGTTAAATTAAAATACAGTCAAGTATTTTCATGATTAAGACTAATTAAAGCGATTGCCTATAATTTATAGTTAATAGTCAATGGAATCTTTTTGGGGTTCATCGGGGCCGGTCTCTGCAGGGGAACAGGATCTTGTGTGACAGCAGGTTTAGGACTACAAACATAAGACCTAACATGAGAGCACAGTGCAATGGGTGGGGTAGTGTGTGTGAGATGTGGCGTGTGTATGCCAGTCTCAGTGCACCTGCAGCATGTCCTAATGCTCATTTAACAGTGTGAACTCAGGAGAAGGTACACCACAGCTATTCTTAGACTCCAAATCAGGCCAGCGCTCCATTATCTCTTTCTTCCCTCTCGATCTCTCTCCTCTCCTTTGTTCTTTCTTGCTTTCTAATCAGTGTCCTAACTGTGATTGCTCTCAGCTCAAGTGGCAGAGACAGTAATTGCGGGGATCTGGATGGAGGGGTCTGATTACGACCGGCGAGTTCTGATGAAGCTCTGATAAACATAAATGATGAGATCAGCGATGGGAAATCAGCTTGGAGAGCTTCTGGAGTGGATCGCTGATCTGAATAGTTTCAATGAGGGCTGTAATTGCGCCATCAATTAACACACATCGCCCAAAAAGTTATGGAACTGAATCTGTGCCAAAAACTCCGTGCTGAAATTATAACGAGAAAAAAGAAATCTGGTACTGGTCGAGTTTTGAGTAGTGACTAAACACAAAATGTAATAAAAAAATAAAAATGTGTTTGTCACAAGTTTGTTAAAGTTCACAGAATGATATAATGGCGCCATCTCCTGTTCAGCACAGGTGCTGCACTACTCTGTGGGAATTGTATTTACCAACTGAATAGTATACATGATGTTTGTTCAAATAAAATACAAAAATCAGTATTAAAATAAAAAATTAAGAAACCCCATAAACATTTAGGTCTGTTAAAACAATAATACGCACGACTACGGGATCCTAATGTAAAAGTTAAAGAAACAAGGTCATTTAAAAACCTAGATTTATCAACTAATTATTTGAATATTAAGGGGGATGTGTCCTCCTAAATGTTTATGTAGTGTTAACAGCTTTGTTTTTAACAAAAAAAGTAACTATGACATCTATTCATGACCCTTGAACCGAAACAAATGTTAAACCTAATAAATGACTGATTATCTCATGTTTAGAAACAAACAGGAAGAATAAATGTACTTTATATTTTCTGTTTTGCTTTCATATATATGATAAGCGCTTCTGTATTTGTGTATTTTCGTGCGTCCACTTACGGATAGGATCTGGTCTCCTCTCCGTAGCTCTCCGCTGAGGTCTGCTGGCCCTCCTGCGAGTATGAAGGAGACGAAAATGCCTTCTCCATCTTCTCCTCCGACGATGTTAAAGCCCAGCCCGGTCGAGCCCTTGTGCAGAATGATCTTTCTGGGCTCCCTGTACACACAGTTCAGGTAATACATCAGATCAGAGTCCGTAGGGCTCAGCATCTCCACTGACACATGCTGCGCTCCTTTGTAAATATACACATGCAAACTATGCGTGCGCGCACACACACGTATCCACACACTTGGGTCGGTCAAAATGGTCTACAATGTAGTCAAGCACAAGAGCTGACACCTATTGGGGACTGCTCCACTTATGTGCTATTTGTCCCATTTCCGCCTGGTTTCCTAGAAACGGAGAAGACGCACAGCCTCTCTCTCTCTCACACACACACACACACATGGCATTCTATATGGGGACTTTCCATAGACATAATCATTTTTATACTGTACAAACTGTACCTCCCCCCAAAAAATCCAACATAATTTCATATGATTAATAAGACGTTTTCCTCATCGGGACCAAAAAATGTCCCCACAAGGTCAAAAATTAAATATATGTGGAATACCAGGTACACAGACACACACATAAAATATCTCTCGCTCACACACAGTCACTTGCTGTAAATACTACGATAGATACTACTTCCTACTTATCTTGTGATTAAAACATAGCATTGATACACAGTTTTTTTTTCCAACAGTGTGTGTACATATAAAATGTAATTATAAATAAATAATATGCTGTTATGTTTATGTATTAACATTATTATATTTAAAATATGAAATATAATAAATCCTTAATATATAAAAGTTATATTATCAGCTTAACAATACACACATAGTGTAGAATGTAGCACATTTAAAATATAAAATAAATTTTTATTTTATGTCACAACATTTCTTTATTCTTTTAAGGATTTGAAAAGCATTATAAGTTATGATAAAATGTTCCCAAAAAGTCTGATCCACTTAGACTGGGCCCATTCAGTTAGTCATAGGATCCTGACAGTTGGGGCATCATCCTGTCAAGTGTGACCAATCAAAGCAAGAGATATCTTGAGCTGTGACACTTCTGTCAGATACACTTGAAATGTGAAGATAAACAATCTCCTGAGTTTACAGATGATAATGCAAAGAGACGACACCAGAGATGGAGCTATTTTAGAACAGAAGGCTAATCCGCTAGCGCTGTGTTCAATCTGACCTAGTTGTGAGGAGGAGGAGAGACGGGCCCTTCCTCTCTCTCTCTCTCTCTGGGCGTCTGTTTGGCTCGCCTCAGATGATGCTCTTCAGGCCATAAACACAAACTAAGCCAAAATGCATCCCATGAAATGTGAAAACACACTTTTTGGGCATAATCATTATATTTAAGAGCTTTTTTTCTGACTGGCTGCAGTATGAAGAAGAAACATAAACAACAGCATTATTTAAATGATTTAAAATGCAACAGAAGGCTCTGTCAATCGGTTGCATCAGGAGTAGATCAAACATGTAATCGGTAAGTGGTAATCCTGATTGAGCCAGTAATCCTGCTTTTCAGCAAATCAGTTACGACTCTGCCTGGCCAATGGTAAAAAACCTTACAGTATCAATACTCATGAGTCAGACTGGCACGACTGGATGCCACCCCTCTCAGGAAGACATGTGCCTGATCTATAGCACAAGTCTATTTGTGATGTTTACATCTGGAAGACGTATTTTTAAGTGTGTTTGCTCATCTGCAATACGTCTATAGGATGTTTCCTGTCAGATGTCAAATAGACGTTTAGTGTAATGATTTAGAATGCAAGTTAAACTGACATCTTCTAAACGTCTATTTGACATCTGACAGGAAACGTCCTATAGACGTATTGCTGATGAAGCAAACACTCTTAAAAATACGTCTTCCAGATGTAAACATCACATCAAATAGACTTGTGCTATAACCATGTCTTGAACACATTTTGTGAAGTAATCCATTTAAACTATTTACAAATAATATTTTATTCAAAAATATGCACAAATTCAATCTTGTTTGTATGTCTATTATGTCAAAAAAGTTTCTTGTCTCATCACATTCAGTTATGAATAGGGTTGGGTATCGAGAATCGAGTATCGATTGGAACCGGGACTAACTTTTCGTTTTTCCCGGAATCGTTCAAAAGTTAAAATTTCGATTCCTAGTTTCGATATTCACAGTCCGCCGAGCGGAAGAAGAAACCGCTGTACAACACCAACGAAGAAGCGTCTACCGGAAGTGTTGGCATAACCGCGCGAGTCGAACATGAGTAGCTTACGTCGGCGGTCCAAAGTGTGGCTTCACTTTTCTAAAAATAACGAAATCTCGGCAAAATGCAAAATTTGTGACAAAAGGAGTATGTGTGACAGAAGGAGTATTTCTTTCAGAAAGGATTATTTCCTTCCGAAAGACCGTTGGTTAGCAAGGTTAGCTAAACTTTTTTGACCCTGCCTCTTAAAAGAATCGGAATTGAGAATCGTTAGGAACTGGAATCGAAACAAGGAATCGGAATCGGAATCAGAATCGTTCAAATTCAAACGATACCCAACCCTAGTTATGAATGACATCAATATTTAAATGATAGCATATTTTCAATTCAAGATAGTAAAATGACATTAAATGTCGAGTAGTATGTTACTGGTCGTTAGACATATCCATCGTAAAACAGTAGTCAAATATTAAATGTTAAGATATGTCTTACCGCACACGCATTCTCTCACAGTAAAAACTAAAAGCGTCGTGTTTTAATTCACACTCGTCCACAGTGAATAGTAGGCCCTGCTTTCTCTGATCTGATTGGCCATAATTTCAACTTTGACAGGCACTGTTAGACCGCGGAGGCAGACCAGCCTAAAATTTGTACTTTTTAAACAGTCTGTCATCCTAACAACAAACAGAGCGTACGTAATGGAGAGCAGAATTAAGAAATATACATATACACTAGCATTTTTGGAATTCACTAGACATATTCTGATCTTATGATTAGTCTGATGCTAGAGAAATGGAGCTCACATGTTTAGTAGTAGGCTACCCATTAGATATAATAATGCTGTCCATTGTTAATGAATGAGTGCAACTATGAACCAAAAAAATATGACCTGCAAAGAATATTCTCTTTGCTCTTTGTAATAAACCCGATGGGTGCTTCTCAATATCCCTCCTCATCTCCTCGCTCCTCCATCCTATGACCCGGAAACTGATCGAGCTCAGCCATCTTGAAGGACCGCGAGGAGGCAAGGTCAAGGATTGAGGAGTGAGGAGGCTTCCTGAGGAGTCATAAGTAAGGATACATGAGTTTTATCGACTAAACGTGACACATGTTTACATTCTCCTCCCCCTTTCACGATTCTTTTAATTCATACTTTACCAAAGCAGTTTTTATAAACCACACATCTCACATATTTCAACAGGGTATCTTGCTTAATTTTTATTTATTATGAATTTCTTAAATAACCAAACTTTAACAACATATGGGCAGATCATTGAGCGCTGCTGATGACGCTGTGAAGTGATCCGATAAATAAAAAAAAAGCCTTCATTTGATTTTTCTATCCTCATTTTCTATCCTTGCAGCCTTCCCTCACATCCTACTGGGGCTGAATCTGAGACACGAGGAAAGGAAACGAGGATGCACAAAAAAGAATTGAGAAGCACCCAATGTGTGGACATGGGGAAAAAGATGATCTACACCAGTCAATTTTTACCACTAGATGGCATCCTTTTCCATTTTATTTCAACCACATAATTGATTGAAAACAGAATCCCAACACCAAGCTTTTGCAAAAAGTAGAATAAGTCATATATGTCTTGATACGCCACAGAAATGGTGTGCTGACAGACTTTTGGCTTGCACGGCTTGACAACAACATTTAAGGTGGCTTTGATCTTAGTCAGTGGTTCAGTCAATGGAAAAATTGGTGGAAAAAATAGGATAGCAATGATGTTATAATCTGATATTAACATTAAAATTAAGGTCGGTATGAGCCTATATTATTCCAGCTTATACAAACATAAATTGCAGCTTATCACAAGGATCTATGACAGCTGAAGTCTGACGACTCACGCTGACACTAATGATATGCTGATCAGTAGGTATTTGACACTGCATATAGGTTTATTTTGAGTAACGGATGGCTCAGAGGTGGGTTGAGTGCGTGCAGCGCCCCACCGGCTGTAACCATCCTCATTAAACTCTCTCAATCTTTTCTCTTCACTCGCATTTCTATCCTCCAAACTTCTCTCTCTCTGTCTCTCTCCCTCCCAGCTGCAAAACACTGATAGAGCTCCTGTCTGTCTCCCCCAACACCTCAGTCCCAGATTACAAACAGCCACTGTTTATCATTTCAAGTTCAGAGCCAAATGGGAAAACAAACCAAATAGATTACACTCCTTTTCCATTCACAATACCCGAGGAGGAGAGGGGCGGACTGGCATTTCATATGCAGCCCCTCACACACATCTCTACCCACAATCATTTGTTCACTGTCATCCTGTGTTATTCTCCCTCCCTTCTCACTCCAACATTCTTCCAGTGTGAGAGCGTTCTGAATATGAAAATGTGCCATAAGCCTCATCCACTTGAAACATAAGCTGTCATTTCTAATGGGCTAGCATGCTACGCTGTTGTCGACTGGCAAAATAACTATTGCCTTTCAAATTCAACCTCAGTGAAGGAAAAGAATCGCAGAGTACCTATGTAGTGACCCCAGCCTTGATTGAAGAAATGAGACGAAAGCTAAAAACTGCACATTTCAGCACTCGACAAAGCAAGAAACCCCTTAATGGATTTTTGCTCTTATGCTTTTCCATTTCTAGATGGTTGTTAACTTGAAACAAATTCTAGGTTTGTCGGTGTGTGTTGTAAAGAACATTAATCCCATTACACGGCATCTGTTGGACACAACTATCAGGCACGTCAACAACACTGGAGCTAAATATGGTTGTCACTTTTCTTCTGGGCTTAATCTTGTTAAAGACACTTTTAAAAACACTTTTGCGGATAATTTACTCACCCCCATGTCATCCAAGATTTCCACGTCTTTCTTTCTTCAGTCGAAAAGAAATTAAGGCTTTTAAATGAAAACATTCCAGGATTTTCTCCATATAATGCA